ACACTTATAAAACTACATTATCACCATTAATAATGTTACAGAAGAAAGCCATCAGGATTATTAATAAAGTGGGCTATAGAGATCATACTAACAACCTGTTTTTGAAATCACGAGTATAAAAGTTTACTGACCTTGTTCAATTTTTGACATTACAAATAATATATTAAGCTAATGACAAACTACTCCCTGGTAATATACAAAAGTATTTCTTATATAGAGATTAACAATATAATTTGAGAGAGGAATGGAATGTAAAATACCCGCCTGTGCGAACAACAGTAAAAAGTCAGTGCATCTCTGTTTGTGGAGTAAAATTATGGAATGGATAAAATAGTGATTTAAAGCAATGTCCAAGTATGACCCAATTTAAAAAATGGTACAAAAATATGGTCTTCATGAGGTACAGGGAGTAAGAGGGAGTTTGACTCAAAAAGATCCAATGAGTGGTGTGAGGGTGTAAGTGTACAAAAGAAAATGGGGTGTGTTGTAAGTATGTGTAGTAGGGAATGTTAATCGCTGTGTGTGGTGGATAAATGGAAAAGGTATGTAGAACAATTTTGCATGGGCCATTTGACTATAGATGAATTTTGAAAATTTATGATGAATTAGGAGAACGACATTGTTCCTTTTGATCTTGAACAAATGGGAAAAGGGGGGTAGGATTTAATAAGCACTAGCTTCCTCCTACTCCTTTTCAAACAGAACATGATAATTTAATTTTTGTGTGATTATCAGTGTGATTTTATTTTTAATGTCTACAATGACTGTTATTATTACTATTGTTATAATAGTTATTTTTATTTTTATTATAAAGTTCGAAATAAAGATTTCATTCGTTAATGTAGAGACAAAAAGTGAACCCAAAAGATCTGTCCGTGTCTAACACTTGATCTCGTGTTAGCCTTTTTGTGTTTATGTTCTTAGATGGTACAGAAACTGTTTCAGAGAATTAAAGTAGATGTGTGTCTTTGTAGTGATGGGAGGTGGTGAGAAATTCGGTCTTCCACAGAAAAAATATTTTTTCCTTTCAGCGCACGTTTAGAAGGACTCCTAAAACATTATGACGTCCCAGCTTTCACTCAACATTTTAACGCACCATTTATGCAAAAATTCATCAGACTCACAAAACTCTTTGTGTGGATGTGAACTCATCTGTGAGGGGATGCAGTTTTGTCTGTGTGTGTATGCATGTTTACCTGTTTGTATGCATAGTAGCTGAAGCTACATGCATAATGTGTGTTCTTCAGTTTACACATACAAGTACCGCTAGTTACCCACTAAAGGTTTACACAATATATGCATCAAGTGTTGCACAACACACACACACACACACACACACACACACACACACACACACACACACACACACACACACACACACACACACACACACACACACAGTGTTTGTTGGGGGGTGGGGGTGGGGGTGTTAAGACACACACACACACACAGATTTTTGAGTCTCCCTTCTCTCTGTATAAATGAGTCAACTATGCACATTTTTACAGTGCTTTAACCCCCCCCATGGTCAGGAGGCCACACAGGTTTTTCCTCCCGTAGCACATTTATGAGAGAGAATCCACTTCCTGCTGATGGGTTTGGTGGTTTTATAGGTCTGCCTTTGTTTGCTTTTGCTGTGTCAGTCACCATTCAACGAAACTAGAGAGCTTTGTTTTCTTAGAATGTCATCTTTTTAAATGAATACACTCTCTGATTTAGAGTTTAGAATGTTAAAAAAAGTGTTGGGGACCATGTCTTTGTATAGATTTTTCATCTTCCCTCTGAAAAAGAAACCCAAGTAATCCTTGGTTGATTATCAATTCCCAAGGACGCTAGTACATTATTGTGTACTTGTCAAATATGTACTTGGCAAGTACAGCAGAAAGTCCACTCTACTGAGAATAAGAGTGTGGAGTAATTTGTGCCAAGTGGCAAGTAGTACTGATCCTCTTATCTAGAAAACCATTGAAGAAGTTGGTGATGTGGCCACATAATTTAGAAGAGACATACATTTCACTCCTCTTCCATAGAAGGGAGGCATATGGTTTGAGAGGAAAGCACATTTAGGTTAAAAATTAATCTATGATCAACCTTTTTTGATTGCTGTGTTTGAACAATTATAGACACATTTGAAAACAGTTCACACACGTTTTAAAAGGACTCTGTGACTATGAGGACGTGTATGCCCAAATATAAGCCACAAGTTTTCTGTTGTATCAAACTACGTTGTTAGAAATACACAAAATATTGCTGTTTATTTATAAATCTGTAGTATTTAGCACATTTTTGGACAAACGTAGGACGCCATGCTTTCCGCACGCAATGCACTCTGGGGGCTATGACGTATATTGGTTGTACTTGTAAGAATAGCTATTGATGCTAGTGTTTGTTTACGAGCTCACTGTATTAATTATTAAGTAAAATGCCTCATTTTGCTGCTTTTGGATGTAATTTCCAGTCAGAGGCAACAAGGGGAGTGATGTGAGTTTACAGCTTTTCCCCACTGGTAAGAGGAGGAGAAAGCAGCAGGAAGATGCCTGTGGACGGACACAACTTCCCAAAGATCAGTGGCTGTGTTCCCAACATTTCTCTCCTGACGCGTTTGAGGCTTATAGTCGACCACAGTGACTTCAAGAGCTCACCAGAGCAGCTGGGTATAAGAGAAGGCGGAAACTAAATGCTTTACCGACCATTTTCCCACACAAGGGGCCTAAACACCTTCGGAGAGACAAGAAACGCTGGACGCTCTCCTGAGCCGACAACCCGCTCCTGCAGCTGCAGCTTCTGTCACGTTCAGCGAACCATCGGACACGCCGCTCGTCACGGATGAAGCTAAACATTCACCTCTCCTGTTAGTAAAACAAGCAGTAAGTGTAGCAATACAGTGCTCTCCAGATATGTAATATCTGCAAAAATGATTGAAGTGGTTTCACTGAATATCCTAATCATCTATTAAGCACATGACAGCTCTGGATGCTAATATTCTCCTAAATCATTCATAATTGAATACGTTTGATCACACGATAGTTTACCGTTAACTTCTGCTGACAAAAATGTGAGCACTCTCCCTCTCGGTTACCACGGAGACACATTTGCCACACACACACCACCGGTTTTGTCCTGCTCTCGCTTCATCCCGCCCTTCTTGCTCTACATGTTGATGCTCGTTTGTGAAACATGGTCAGTGATGTCCTCATTAGTTTCACTCTGGTTCAAATAGAAAAGGCTGAACCGATGGCATGTTGATGTTGCTGAACAGTCACTACAGGGTCCCAAAGCCGGCCGGTGCAACCGAGGTACAACCGTATGACGTCACTACCCAGAGTGCAGTGTGACGCTAACAACAATGGCGATCTACAAGTTAAACTATTTTTTTTACAAATTTCATGTTTTTATAAATTTTATAAAAATGAATACATTGAGAAGGTTTTTTACACCACTTTAATATAACTGATACTAACATTTATCTTTTAAGAACCACAAAGTTTTGTAACCTGCGTTCCTTTTAATGCATTAGTATAAAGTATAAAGGATCAGTTGTGTCAAAGGGCCAATGAATATTTACCACATATGACTATTGTATTTTTTATTGTTAATTGTTTTCTTATATTTGATCACCATAACCATGTGACATTCTTAAATTTAGACAAAAATCCATCATGCCACACAAACACAAACAGAAGACAGATGGGTTTGAACTCATCTTTCGGATTTGGAAAGAGCAGTGAAAGAGGTGCAACAAGGGAAGAGCATACATCAGGTTGGGAAGGAGATGAAGATCTGCAAGATGACCTTACAAAGATATATGGATAAGAAAAAAAGCAAGAGAAGTGATGAAGCAACAGCAGTTGCCAAACAAGTCTTCAATGAGAACATAGAGAAAGAGCCTGCTGACCATACTAGGACACTAGCAGCAATGTTTCATTGCATAGGTGTCATAAAATGACATGAGCAGTAGCTCAGAAGGTAGAGCAGGTTGTCCAGCAATCAGAAGGTTGCAAGTTTGATCCCGGCTCCTGCCAGAGAATTCTGCTGTTGTGTCCTTAGGCAAGACACTGAACCTACCATGCCTGCTGATAAATGATGATGATAAATGACCCGCACCTGTATAGCGCCTTTCAGAGTCAGAGGACTCCAAAGCGCTTTACACTACAGTGTATCATTCATCCATTCACACACACATTCACACACTGATGATGATGAGCTACAATGTAGCCACAGCTGCCCTGGGTGGCGCTGACAGAAGTGAGGCTGCCGAGCACAGGCGCCATCAGTTCCTCTGACCACCACCAGTAGGTGGCAAAAGTGTTAGGAACAGAATCAGAACAGGAACAGGCAGACAAAACATGAGGAGCAGGCACAAACACAAGGAACCGACAAAGAGCAGTGGGCAGAGCTGGGATTAAACGGACTGAGGAGGTGAGTGGAGACGGGACAGGTGTGACGATTACTGATATATTGCAGGTGTGACAAGAAAACAGAACTATGGGAAATGAAGGCAATACAAAAACATAAGAGACCTGTACAAACCAAATAAAACATTAGGGGTTTATAACTAAATGATGGGAGATAAACATGATGGAAAACATAACTACAACTGAAAAGAAAGCTGGAGAAATTAACTAAACAAAGACTGATTATAGAAAATACATGAGCCAAATAAGAAATAAAGTAAAAACCTGAATGATAAATGAAGACTAGGGAGACGGGGTATAGAAGGGGCAGGGAGGACAAGGACACCTAGGAGGGAGAAACATGAAATGAACTGGGGAGACAAGGGACACAGGACATGACTGTTTCTACTTTAACATTTACCTGAGCTCCCAAGGGACAGGACCTTATCACCTGGCTTACCATATCCAATTATGATGCTTCGATTCTTTTGCACCAGCATAGTTAAATATATAGGAAAAGTTGTAAAAGTGTAACAACAAAAGAATGTGTATTTTTGATCAAACCATGTGGGCCTACCTTTGTCTAAATACAATGTTTTCTTGTAGATCTGGATGCTCCCAGAGACCTTCAGACCATGGAACTAACAGATGAGAGCATCACACTAGAATGGAAGAACAGTCGGGCTCATGTGGACCAGTACCGCATCAAGTATGGCCCACTGTCTGGAGGCGAACATGGAGAATTGCTCATCCCTCGCGGACCCAAAGACTCCACCCAGGCTAAGATCACTGGTATTAAAGAATCATGCTCCCAACATGTTAATACACAATCAGATCTATGATCATAAACATTCATCACCCTGCAACATCACTATAAGAAGTTAATGGTTTTTGGGTGTTTTGGCTTTACGCACACACACACACACACACACACACACACACACACACACACACACACACACACACTCACAGTGTTTGGTGGGGGTGGGGGTGTTAAGATGGAGGTCATCTTTCCCAGCATCCTCCTTTCACACTTCTCCTCAACAGAATCCAGTGGCCAGCCCAGAGTCGAGCTAGCTTTGTTAACTAGCTTGTCCAGTCATCCTACAGCTTGGTTTATGCTTGACGCATTCACTTTCCGCGCGGTGATGCGGCTCGCAGATGGAACGCGCTTCACAACTCGCAGCGTTTATGGTTCATGCGGCTTGTCTCTGCGGTGAGCCAATATTCTCCCAAACTGTAGGGGGCAGCATGGAGCTCTATGGCATGCATCCAACACTACACCATAGTAGAAGTAAAAATTACTGTTGTTTACAACATGGCATTCCAGCATTTTTAACAGCGTCCTCGTCTTTTCCGATAGTGCGAGCTATTTCTCTCCAAGAATTATTAACAACATGTTGATCACAGTGATCTTTGAGAGCTGAATCACACAAATGTCTGTATTTATGAACCTCTGCCATACTAGTTCTTGCAAATCTGCCATGTTTTTCCGTGTCCAACCGTCCGCGTGGTAAGAAAATTTCCTAGGTGCGCGGTGCGGAAAGTTTGGGCCATGCAGAGGCATGGTGGAGGGGGGTGATTGTTAAAATGACACAATTTTGCCGCGTGGAGCCATGCGAACCTCGCGGACGTGTCAAGCATAAACCAAGCTTACCACAGTCAGAGCTGCCTGCACCCCAACAGACAACAGCAGAGTGAATAATAGAATAACATACTGCAATCCAATTGAATTTATTGAGGAACAATTGCAATATCTGGCTTTATAGAGTGGGTTTATTTTTAATGCATTGTATTCTATTTACAGTAGTCAGTTTCCCTTACTGCTCTGAAGCAGTTGGGGACATTGACTCTGAATGGGCCTTGTTTTGCTCTGCAGTTGTTGAGGCGGCTGTTGCTAGCTGTGGCCGCAAGGTGGCCGGTGCCAGTCATGGCAGTAACCCTGTACCTGCTGGTGGACAACAGAGATTAGGGGAGCTGTCAAGCTGAAGGACGAGGACTTTAGGGCGTGGCGGGTCTGTAGGGATCCAGAGGCAGCAGATGGGTACCGGAGGGCCAAGCGGGGTGCAGCAGTGGCAGTTGCCGAGGCAAAATCTCGGGTGTGGGAGGAGTTTGGCGAGACCATGGAGAAAGACTATCGATGGGCTCCTAAAGGTTCTGGCAAACCATCCGGGGAGGAAGGTAGCCGCATAGCTGGCAGTAAGTCAGACCTGTTCCCAGTGAGGGTTGGACTCCGCCAGGGCTGCCCTTTGTCACCGGTCCTGTTCATAACATTTAAGGACAGGATTTCTAGACGCAGTGTTGAGGGTGTGGAGTTTGGTGGCAGGAGAATGTCATCTCTGCTTTATGCAGATGATGTGGTCCTCCTAGCTTCATCAGGCTCTGACCTTCAGCTCTTGCTGGGGAGGTTCACAGCTGAGTGTGAAGCAGCTGGGATGAGGATCAGCACCTCCAAGTCTGAGACCATGGTTCTCGACCGGAAAAGAGCAGCTTGCCAGTTCCGGGTCGGGAGAGAGGTCCTGCCTCAAGTGGAGAAGTTCAAGTATCTCGGGGTCTTGTTCACGAGTAAGGGAAGGAGGGAGCGGGAGATCGACAGGCGGATTGAGGCAGCGTCTGCAGTGATGCGGACGCTTAACCAGTCTGTTGTGGTGAAGAAGGAGCTGAGCCAGAAAGCAAGGCTCTCAATTTACCAGTTGATCTACCACCCAGTCCTCACCTGTGGTCATGAGCTTTGGGTAATGACCGAAAGAACAAGATCCCGGATACAAGTGGCCAGAATTAGGTTTCTCCATGGGGTGACTGGGCTCAGCCTTAGGGATAGGGTAAGGAGCTCGGACATTCGAGAGAGACTCGGAGTAGAGCCACTGCTCCTCCATTTCGAGAGGAGTCAGTTGAGGTGGTTTGGACATCTTTTTAGGATGCCCCCTAATACACCCAGGGAGGTGTTTCAAGCATGACCTGCTGGCAGGAGGCCCCCTGGTCAACCCAGGATATATAGGAGAAAGCACATCTCCAAACTGGCCCAGGAACGCCTTGGGCTCCTATCGGAGGAGCTGGTGGAGGTGGCCGGGAAGAGGATGATCTGGAACTCTCTAGTTGGGGTGCTGCCTGCGCGACCCAGACCTTGATGGGCGGAAGAAGACGAGATGAGATGAGATGAGTAGTCAGTCAGACTGAATCTGCACTATGTATTATGTGGATATTTTTGCTCAATACTTTTAGATAAGCTGTGTCGTCAACTGAGTTGAACTGAATTGAAATAGACAACTGTTGTTTCACTGTGGGATTTTAATAAAACTGAAGTATACTTTTTTCACTGCTCTGAACCACTGACATCACTCAGCCACACTGTGAGGGCAATGGAGTCTTTCTGTTTGTTTGTTTCTAGGCTGTAGTTCTTTAGCATTACACAATCAGTCTACATGAGAAACAGACAAAAAAGCTTCCAAAAAGGAACTAGTAGTCTTTGTTGACCCAGTTCTTTGTCCTTGGGAGGCCTATCCAATCAAAATAAAGCCCCCACCCTTTACTCCACACACACCTCTCACTTCTTTTCATACACTTATTATCTGTAATTGCCTTTACGCTCGTGATTTTATTGATAATGAGCTTCCCAAGCATTAGCAGTTATTTCATGCTGCAGAGCTCTGTGGTCCATGACCTCTGCGGGAGTGAATAAAGGAATTAGATACGATCAGGGTGAGAGAGGACTTGATTTTAAAGACCAAACGACCCCTCGATGCCCACAGTATTGTAGCAAGGGTTTTTTCAGCTTTTCAAAAAGGGCACTATACATCTCTCAATGCAAACCCAACACAGCATACCATGAAAAACAATTAGGCTCCAGTCTATTGTGGCTCCATAGCCATCAGCTCAAGCAGCTGGCCACTTGACTACAGGGCCTCCCTTAGTTCACCCTTCCGTTTATTTGTTGACAAATTAGTATAAAGGCTACCATAGTTTTTGGATCATATCACAGGGTTTCTTCTGTTCTGTCCTGCAGGCCTGAGACCAGGAACTGAGTATGGAATGGGCGTGACAGCCATAAAAGATGAACGGGAGAGTATCCCTGCCACTACCAATGCAGTTACAGGTGAGAAACTTCCACACCTTTTGAACGGATGGATGGAAGGATGGCTGAATGATGGATTGAGCTGACTGCCTTGAATTGTGACATGTTCTCTATTCAGTTGTCCCATTGATTTTAAAGACTTTAGTTGTGATCTAGAATTGTATAAATTAAGTGAACTGATGTCAACCTGTGGGGGAGGGATTTTCTTACTTTATCAAAATCCCATTGCTGTGTCGGAGGAAACGGTTTGCATTTTTTCTTGCTGTTTTGTTTTCATTATGTGCTTTAAATAGTACAAAACCAATTGACGATTGATTGAGCCACATATTTTTATTTATTTACTCCAATAGATAATTCAAAGCTGCAAGAGCGGAAGAAAATTAAAAACACTAGACACCAGGGGTGGTGGATTGTTTCTAAAGTTCTAAAGTTATACAAGAACCCAGTTGTTTTATGTTTCATTACAACATCCACTGCAGTGCAATGGCAGGTGTTAAAAATCGTTTCTTTATCCATGAAATTAAAATTAGAACCTGGTTCAAACAAGCTACCCACTGACTATGGAATGAACTAACTACTGCTGCTGCAACAAGTAGTATTAGGGAAGCACTAATATGACATTTTGGTCTGATGCCGATAGCCGATATATGTGTGTGTGTGTGTGTGTGTGTGTGTGTGTGTGTGTGTGTGTGTGTGTGTGTGTGTGTGTGTGTGTGTGTGTGTGTGTGTGTGTGTGTGTGTGTGTGTGTGTGTGTGTGTGTGTGTGTGTGTGTGTGTGTGTGTGTACATCCACTCCTCTAGTTTGGGGGTTTCGATATAAAGGTGCTAGTCATAAAAATATAACATCATGATAATGTTGTTTTGTTTTAGGAATTCCATTGAAAAAGTGAAACTTGTTTACAAGGTTCATTTATTACACACAGGCTGCTATTTGTCAAATGTTTATTTCTTTATTTCTCAATTTTGAGGATTTAAACTGACAACCAGTAAAAATCCCAAATTCCTCTGTCCTCTGCCAAGCCTCTTTCTAAAATGTTGAAAATTAAACTAAACTAGATAAATTGCATTTTTTGCTGAAATGCTGTTTGAATGCTGGATATCTTAAACTGTTAGCTGAATCAGCTTAATAAATGAACTGAAGCTGAAACTAAGCAAAACTGTCAAAATGAGCTGAATGTATTAACAGACGTAGAAGCAAAAAGCACCAACCAAGTAAAGCACAAAAAGTAAGTGAATAATAGAGAAAAATAATCCTGAACAGCAGAAAACTGAGATCTGTGAACACTGCATAAAAATCTGGACAGCTAAAATGTCTAAACACATGTTATTTCAGTAGGACAAGTTTAACAGTGTATTATTTACATTTAGCTGAACTGTGAAATTAGCAGCATATGCTAAATTTGGAAACTGATTGCTGAAGCTGCTGAATAGCTGAAGTGAAGCTGAAACTAAGCTAAACTGTCAAAATGAGCTGAATGTATTTAAAGATTTAGAAGCAAAACTCACCAACACGTGTAATAAGACTCAGAAGGTGGAGAATGGACAAAAAAAAGAGCTAAACAGCAGAAAACTTAAAATCTTTGAACATTGATTAAAAACTCAAAAGTTGAAATGTTTAAACAGCTGGCATTTTAATAGGTATTTTTTTACAATTGGCTGAACTGTGAATTTAGAAATATTTACTGATATCTGAAACTGATAGATTAACATATGTTCAGACTTAGTATGGAATTGATGAATGGTTGGATGAATGAAATGATAAATGGACTGTTGGATGGATGTTAGATGGTTTATTGGATGGATGGATGGATGGATGGATTTATATGTAGATGGATGGATTCCTTAGGCCAAGCCGATCGATTTGATGTCTCACATGTGTGGGTGTGTAAGTCCATTTAGCTAGAAGATGATTGACCTCTCTCAAACAATCAGGGAGCTGGGAGGGAGCGGGGCACTTTCCCACCTTCTGACGGTCAATCAAATTGAACTTGTTTCTAGTTTTAAGTACAGATAGTTCAAAAAGATCAAAAACAGAAGTCTGTTATTGGCTCAATATTCAGCTTTTTATATTCATTCCTGTGAGACTTGGTTAAAGTGATTTGTAGTTCCTCGTGTTGCCATGGTAACAGATGACAGGATTCTGCTTTGAAAAAGCGATGTACAATGTCACATGACTCTTTTAAACTTTGACTAACATTTCTATATTAAAGTATGTTAATACAGTTGTGTCTAAAATGTTTTTAAATGTTGTTGCTAAGCATGTTGCCATGGCAACACAGAACACAGTATCAAGTTAATACAAGACTCCTGGGACCAAGCAGGTTGAATTGATGTATCATATGTGTGGGTGCATATTTCCTTTTAGGCAGAAGACGATTGAAAACTCTCAGCCAACGAAAGAGCAGCGAAGGAGGAGGGGGCGGTTCCTGCCTTCTGACTAGTGTTAAAATGTCAGCTATGCTAGAGCTCAGAAAGATAAGAAACAGCAGTATGTTATAGGCTCAATATTAGGCTTTTCACATTCATTTCAGTGAGACTTGAACACTCTCAACCAATCGGAGAGCAGCACTGTTTTCTCGCCTTTTCCCCCGGCTGTTTTAGGCCTGCAGCTGTACTCCTGTTAATGAGAGAAGCCTTTAAATCTGTCCTTCAGAAGTGAAATTGGACCTGTCAAACTTCTCATCACCATTCGAAAAGTACTGCACCAGAATTCTATTCAAAGTTGTATACTTGAGGTCCCAGATCTTCAGTTCATGGGTCTTCTAGACCTAGAGAAGTCTTACAACTTCGTCTTCTGTGCTGGAGTTACCGTTATTGGCTGTCTGGTTCAAGGCAAAACCAAAATAAACAGGTTTGATTGGTAGTAACACAGATGCAGTTTACCGTAGTGCTGAAGGACCAGCAGATGATTACAATTTGAGAAAAATGTAGAAAAGTTCTGAATTTTCTAAGTAGTAAAGAAAAATTGCAGGTATTTTCAAACTAGTAATGTTTCATCAAAAATGAACAGGAATCTGTAGGAGAGTGGAAACCTGTGACATCTAATCCCTCTGATGGGACCTTATCCATGCTGACTGATCGTCATGGTGATCATTTTTCAGGACCACAAACACAAATGTCTGTTTTGCCATTTTGAGACGTTTTTGGGACTGAATTTGATTTGATCGAACATTTTTGTTTGAAAAAAAAAGGAAATATATTTACGGAGTTTGGAACTGAACAGCTTCTCGTGTTTATCTTCTGGCTGAAGTATGAGATTTATAAAATTTGTTGAATTAACAATTAGTGTAAAACATATCTGACATTTTTCCATTTTAACCAAGCCCCTCTTCATTTCTGTTCCAGCTCTGGATTCTCCTAAAGACCTGACTGTGGCTGAGGTGACCGAGACCTCCATGACGCTGGAGTGGAAACGCCCCCTGGCTAAACTGGACACCTACAAACTAGTCTATGTTGCTGCTGACGGCCACAGGGTTGAAGACCTGATTCCAGCCAGCTCTGAAACCCACACACTCAGAGGCCTGACTCCTGGCATGCTGTATACTATCAGCATGACTGCAGAGAGAGGCCACAGAGCCAGCCGACCTGCCACCATCTCAGCACCCACAGGTCAGTACTCCCCGTTGAAGCAGCCATTGATTTTACTTTCATGCCAAATGTAGTCAATTTATGGTCACTTTTTTAACTTTTTAGAAGCCTGTTCATTAAGCTTGTGCAAAATGTTTGATCTAGTCAAACATTCTTAATACAGATCTACTCTTTATTAAGATGTTACCAGATGTGAAGCTTCATGGTGGTCTAGCTGGGTACTCCTGCATTCCCACAGTGAAAAGGTCTCTGGTTTAAATACCGGCTGGGGTTTATTTTCTCATCACCATTCGAAAAGTACTGCACCGATTAGAAAAATTCAAAAAGAGTGAGCGGCAGACGACTTTGAAGGTCATCTGTGTGAATTTTTATGTGCCTACCATGAATTGTCTAGAAGCTATGACGAGAACATTTTAGCTGTCTAAAGCCGATCGGAGGAGAAAATCTCTGTTCCTTTAACATGGGTTTCAATGAGACAGAATCAGGGTCTCTCCTCCTTATGAGGCTTCTAGAGAAATAAATGTAACACTTAAGGACAAAATGAAACCCATTCTGAAAAGCTGACAAAAATTCCTACTTTTTGAGATATAATTTGTTTCGGTACTCCAAACGGTCTGGGTGTTGGAAAGACTGGTTTCCAGAAAATGTGAAGGTCAAAAGTTAGAGTGCAGAACTTTCAGTTTAGAGTGGTGAGAGACTTTTTTTTTTTATTTAAATATTCTCAAAGAAATGAACCGTACGACCACAATGTTTGGAGTACAGTCATGAATTATAGCTCAAAACGAAGGTATATCTGTTAGCTGCAAGCCAGCGCGTGTCTCATTTCAATCGGACTTACGGTTTTCTCAGGACAATGCCAGAAATGGAGCAAAGGAGGGTTATTGCTCCTATCTCTGCCCATTATAATTTTTGTGATTTTTTCTGAAAATCTCAAGCCGTACCTCAACTTCTACCTGTGACTGTAGAAAAACTGTAATAGATATCAAAAATATTTTTAACCAGTAATAGCTGAAAGTCTTGTGAGTTTGCTGAAACTTGAATGAAGTCTCCAGGTTAAAGTTAAACTATAAGAGTATGAGTTCAAATAAGTGATGGGATTTAGCTGAAAATTGAGCAATCCCATTCATTTCAATGGGACCAAAAATTGCAGAAAAAGCTGAATATCTCAAAAAGTATAAAATATTTTAATACCAAAAGTCATTGCCGGCCTAAGCTGAACGAGCTGAACGTTTTGATACCAAAATTGTGTAAATAGTTGAAGAATTGTGGAAGTAGTTAAATGCCAAAAACGTACTGAAGCAGAATAATAAACCAACTATAAAGAGAAACAGGATCGCTTCAAACAATAAACAAGTTGGCTCTATCTTTCGAGTTGACAGTGAACAAGAGAAACCGTTATTGTTTAAGATGGTGAAACAGAGTGATTTCAATATTGATCTGTTCCAATTTCACTAAATTTCAATGATATGGAGATTATCCTAGGAGCACAAAAGGATGTTATATCTGTGTGGTGGGGGACAAAACTATCATTCATAAATATTGTCCCTGCATCCCCAGTTAACTCGACGCCTATGCTAGACTCAGTGTTTATAGATCACAAACTTTCAGACATTTTCTTTTATTTTTTTTTACCAGCGGAGACATGTTAAACTCAAGATATTTGATCTTTCTTTCCAGGTGCAGCTCAGCTGCCCTGCTGATAAAAATAACAAAACAGCAAAAGCATTAAGCAGCACAGCTGGTTACCAGCATATGTTGTGTTTTGGTGCTGGTTTGGCATACAATGCTAGTCCAGTATGCTGGTCCCAGATGAGATGCTGGTCAAGTGTGCTGGTCCAGCATCTAATCACCAGCATCCCATGCTGGACTAGCATACTGGACTAGCGTTGTATGCCAAACCAGCACCAAAACACAACATCAGGTCTATTCTGGATTTTTCATCAGGGTGTCATTTCAGGTGTCGCAATGACGGTTAAGGAGAAGTTCATGTAATTGTTAAAATGTTCCTAACAGGTGATATCTACATCAGATCCAGTAAGAATTCTATTCAAAGTTGTTTGAGGTCCCAGATCTTCAGTTCATGGGTCTTCTAGACCTAGAGAAGTCTTACAACTGTGTCTTCTGTGCTGGAGTTACCGTTATTGGCTGCCTGGTTCGAGGCAACACCAAAATAAACAGGTTTGGTTGGTAGTAACACAGATGCAGTTTACCGTAGTGCTGAAGGACCAGCAGATGATTACAATTTGAGAAAAATGTAGAAAAGTTCTGAATTTTCTAAGCAGCAAAGAAAAATTGCAGGTATTTTCAAACTAGTAATGTTTCATCAAAAATGAACAGGAATCTGTAGGAGAGTGGAAACCTGTGACATCTAATCCCTCTGACGGGACCTTATCCATGCTGACTGATCGTCATGGTGATCATTTTTCAGGACCACAAACACAAATGTCTGTGTTGCCATTTTGAGACGTTTTTGGGACTGAATTTGATTTGATCGAACATTTTTGTTTGAAAAAAAAAAAGGAAATATATTTACGGAGTTTGGAACTGAACAGCTTCTCGTGTTTATCTTCTGGCTGAAGTATGAGATTTATAACATTCGTTGAATTAACAATTAGTGTAAAACATATCTGACATTTTCCCATTTAAACCAAGCCCCTCTTCATTTCTGTTCCAGCTCTGGATTCTCCTAAAGACCTGACTGTGGCTGAGGTGACCGAGACCTCCATGACGCTGGAGTGGAAACGCCCCCTGGCTAAACTGGACACCTACAAACTAGTCTATGTTGCTGCTGACGGCCACAGGGTTGAAGACCTGATTCCAGCCAGCTCTGAAACCCACACACTCAGAGGCCTGACTCCTGGCATGCTGTATACTATCAGCATGACTGCAGAGAGAGGCCACAGAGCCAGCCGACCTGCCACCATCTCAGCACCCACAGGTCAGTACTCCCCGTTGAAGCAGCCATTGATTTTACTTTCATGCCAAATGTAGTCAATTTATGGTCACTTTTTTAACTTTTTAGAAGCCTGTTCAGTAAGCTTGTGCAAAATGTTTGATCTAGTCAAACATTCTTAATACAGATCTACTCTTTATTAAGATGTTACCAGATGTGAAGCTTCATGGTGGTCTTGCTGGGTTCTCCTGCATTCCCACAGTGAAAAGGTCTCTGGTTTAAATACCGGCTGGGGTTTATTTTCTCATCACCATTCGAAAAGTACTGCACCGATTAGAAAAATTCAAAAAGTGTGAGTGGCAGAAGGCTTTGAAGGTCATCTGTGTGAATTTTTATGTGCCTACCATGAATTGTATAGAAGCTATGACGAGAAAATTTTAGCTGTCTAAAGCCGATCGGAGGAGAAAATCTCTGTTCCTTTAACATGGGTTTCAATGAGACAGAATCAGGGTCTCTCCTCCTTCTGAGGCTTGTAGAGAAGGAAATGTAACACTTAAGGACAAAATGAAACCCATTCTGAAAAGCTGACAAAAATTCCTACTTTTTGAGATATAATTTGTTTTGGTACTCCAAACGGTCTGGGTGTTGGAAAGAGTTGCTTCCAGAAAATGTGAAGGTCAAAAGTTAGAGTGCAGAACTTTCAGTTTAGAGTGGTGAGAAAAAATTTTTTTATTTAAATTTTCTCAAAGAAATTAACCGTACGACCACAATGTTTGGAGTACAGTCATGAATTATAGCTCAAAACGAAGGTATATCTGTTAGCTGCAAGCCAGCGTGTGTCTCATTTCAATCGGACTCACGGTTTTCTCAGGACAATGCCAGAAAGGGAGCAAAGGAGGGTTATTGCTCCTATCTCTGCCCATTATAATTTTTGTGATATTTTCTGAAAATCTCAAGCCGTACCTCAACTTCTACCTGTGACTGTAGAAAAACTGTAATAGATATCAAAAATATTTTTAACCAGTAATAGCAAAAAGTGTTGTGAGTTTGTTGAAACTTGAATGAAGTCTCCAGGTTAAAGTTAAACTATAAGAGTAAGATTTCAAATAAGTGATAGGATTTAGCTGAAAATTGAGCAATCCCATTCATTTCAATGGGACCAAAAATTGCAGAAAAAGCTGAATATCTCAAAAAGTATAAAATATTTTAATACCAAAAGTCATTGCCGGCATAAGCTGAACGAGCTGAACGTTTTGATACCAAAATTGTGTAAATAGTTGAAGAATTGTGGAAGTAGTTAAATGCCAAAAACGTACTGAAGCAGAATAATAAACCAACTATAAAGAGAAACAGGATCGCTACAGTTTGAATGCTTTACAGCATTCAAACAATAAACAAGTTGGCTCTATCTTTTAAGTTGACAGTGAACAAGAGAAACCATTATTGTTTAAGATGGTGAAACAGAGTGATTTCAATATTGATCTGTTCCAATTTCACTAAATTTCAATGATATGGAGATTATCCTGGGAGCACAAAAGGATGTTAGATCTGTGTGGTGGGGGACAAAACTATCATTCATAAATATTGTCCCTGCATCCCCAGTTAACTCGACGCCTATGCTAGACTCAGTGTTTATAGATCACAAACTTTCAGACATTTTCTTTTATTTTTTTTATCAGCGGAGACATGTTAAACTCAAGATATTTGATCTTTCTTTCCAGGTGCAGCTCAGCTGCCCTGCTGACAAAAATAACAAAACAGCAAAAGCATGAAGCAGCACAGCTGGTTACCAGCATATGTTGTGTTTTGGTGCTGGTTTGGCATACAATGCTAGTCCAGTATGCTGGTCCCAGATGAGATGCTGGTCAAGTGTGCTGGTCCAGCATCTAATCACCAGCATCCCATGCTGGACTAGCATACTGGACTAGCGTTGTATGCCAAACCAGCACCAAAACACAACATCAGGTCTATTCTGGATTTTTCATCAGGGTGTCGCAACGACGGTTAAGGAGAAGTTCATGTAATTGTTCAAATGTTCCTAACAGGTGATATCTACATAAGATCCAGTAAGAATGATATTCAAAGTTGTATACTTGAGTTCCCAGATCTTCAGTTCATGGGTCTTCTAGACCTAGAGAAGTCTTACAACTGTGTCTTCTGTGCTGGAGTTACCGTTATTGGCTGCCTGGTTCAAGGCAACACCAAAATAAACAGGTTTGATTGGTAGTAACACAGATGCAGTTTGCCGTAGTGCTGAAGGACCAGCAGATGATTACAATTTGAGAAAAATGTAGAAAAGTTCTGAATTTTCTAAGCAGCAAAGAAAAATTGCAGGTAAATTCAAACTAGTAATGTTTCATCAAAAATGAACAGGAATCTGTAGGAGAGAGGAAACCTGTGACATCTAATCCCTCTAATGGGACCTTATCCATGCTGACTGATCGTCATGGTGATCATTTTTCAGGACCACAAACACAAATGTCTGTTTTGCCATTTTGAGACGTTTTTGGGACTGAATTTGATTTGATCGAACATTTTTGTTTGAAAAAAAAAAAAAAGGAAATATATTTACGGAGTTTGGAACTGAACAGCTTCTCGTGTTTATCGTCTGGCTGAAGTATGAGATTTATAACATTCGTTGAATTAACAATTAGTGTGAAACATATCTGACATTTTTCCCATTTTAACCAAGCCCCTCTTCATTTCTGTTCCAGCTCTGGATTCTCCTAAAGACCTGACTGTGGCTGAGGTGACCGAGACCTCCATGACGCTGGAGTGGAAACGCCCCCTGGCTAAACTGGACACCTACAAACTAGTCTATGTTGCTGCTGACGGCCACAGGGTTGAAGACCTGATTCCAGCCAGCTCTGAAACCCACACACTCAGAGGCCTGACTCCTGGCATGCTGTATACTATCAGCATGACTGCAGAGAGAGGCCACAGAGCCAGCCGACCTGCCACCATCTCAGCACCCACAGGTCAGTACTCCCCGTTGAAGCAGCCATTGATTTTACTTTGATGCCAAATGTAGTCAATTTATGGTCACTTTCTTAACTTTTTAGAAGCCTGTTCAGTAAGCTTGTGCAAAATGTTTGATCTAGTCAAACATTCTTAATACAGATCTACTCTTTATTAAGATGTTACCAGATGTGAAGCTGCATGGTGGTCTAGCTGGGTACTCCTGCATCCCACAGTGAAAAGGTCTCTGGTTTAAATCCCAGCTGGGGGTTTATTTTGTTGCACATGTGTGTTTCATTCAGATACTTAATTTTTTACCATTAAGCAAGCATATGAAAATTAGGTTTGTGGACATTTTTTACAGAAACACATTGGTACCATCAAAGCTGAAGCTGTGACTATGGAGTACACACAAGATGGTTACAGTCTTGTTATGGTGTCAAACTCTAACTTTGCTGGCATGTTTACAATAAACTTTACACTCGAAGCAGGGTAAAAAGTTACAGTCAGGTTCTTGATGGGTACACACCGACGTAGCCACATTACCCCTGTCCTGGACCATCTTCACTGGCTCCCTGTCATTTTCAGAGTGCAGTTTAAGTTACTGACTTTTGTTTTTAAAGCACTCAATGACCTCGCACCTCCCTACCTCTCTGCCCTTCTCACTCTATATGTGCCCACCCGCACGTTGAGGTCAGCTGACCTTTTGCTGCTGCACATGCCGCGGATGAGACTCAAATTGCGGGGGGATCGAGCATTTGTGCATGCTGCCCCAAAGCTATGGAACTCATTGCCCATTGGAGTTCGGCAGGCTCCATCTCTGGCGGTTTTTAAATCTCGTTTAAAGACCCATTTTTACACTTTGGCTTTTAGACAGTGACTCGTTTTAGTGTTTCATTGTATCATTGTTTTAATGTGTTCTTAGTATTCATCATGTTTTATCTGCCTTTGATTGAGATTTTTATCCTTTGTTTTAGCTCCTTGTAATGGTTGTGTTTTGTTTTAGCCTGTGCAGCACTTTGGGCAGCTCCCATGTAGAATTTTAAATGTGCTATATAAAAAAACTATGCTATGCTATGCAGTACAAACCAGCTAAACTAAATATGCATCAATTGCATTTCTATATAGATGCTGTGGGGAGTTATAGGAGTTCCTAAGAAGTGCTGCTAGAACCACAGACATCTTATGTGTAGACACAGTTTATATTTTAAATGTTTATTTCTTTTCATTTTGATGATTGTAAATGACATCTAATGAAAATCCCAAATTCCATATATGTGTGCCCCTTATGCTGCACAGTTCTGGAAACCCAAGTTTCATTTAATAGTTTATTGCCTTTGTGTGTTTACCTGAAATAATATTATTTTTTATCTTAATTTTCTCTAAGAATATTTGCTGCTGTACCAAGTGATTTTCCCCACTGTGGGATTATTAAAGCTATTCTATTCTCCATCCATCCATCCATCCATCCATCCATCCATCCATCCATCCATCCACTTTCTTCCGTTTATCCGGTCTCAGGCTGCGGGGGCAGCACCTGTGACACCAGTCACACAGGGACCTAACAGCCCGTATCAGAGGGCCTGGTAACCCATACTTCCGGAGTACCCCCCCCCCTTCAGGGGCACGGTCAAATGCCTTCTCCAAATCACAAAGCACATGTAGATTGGTTGGGCAAGCTCCCACGCACCCTCCAGGACCCCCCTAAGGCTATAGAGCGGGGTCCAGCTACTCTACTCTATTCTATTCTTTTCTATTTTCACATCCAGACTAATATGCACCTAGTCACTCAACAAGTACATCTTGAATGAAATGTCCTTCTGGGCGCGTCAGGTGTTATATTTATTTATTTATTTAAGCTTTTAAAAAATTTTTTGATGATGATGATGATGATTTTAAATCATTCCTTTTGTACTTTTAATGAGTTCAGGTCAAGTGAAACCTAAAAATTCTACATTGTATCAGGATAGGGGTAACACATCAGAAACAACACAACATCTTTGTTGCGTTCGTTCTGGGTTTTCAATCCGGTTACAGTTTTTGTGATTCTTCATCATTCACACAGCAAATAAAGCTTTGTTAAATCTTTGCTGACATGTTTCGGCGTCCACTGCCGTCTTTGTCAGAGCAACCACCGATGTTGGTGGTGTCACTTCCGTTTATCTGCGGGCAGCAGAAGACGAAAGCCCCCTCTACTGCCCGCACCTTCTTTGTTGATATCCATGTCCCATGAGTGGTCCAGCGCATATGCTTCTTTGTCCACGTTCATAGTCCTGGGTCCACACATCCTTATCTCAATCACCTTTTTGAATCATCTTTGGAATTTCGGTTGTTCTGTGTACTCGTTGTGTTGTCCCAGTCCATTAAATGGGTTTCCTTTGTGCAGTGGTCTGTTATGGCTGATCTCTTTGCTGTACTTTCTGCTTCTTGTTTCGCTGCTCATGCGTGTCTTCAACTTGATTCGTTCACTTCTTTTTATGTTCTGTTTTTCGTGTGTTTGAATGGCATCATGTTTCTCCAATGTACATTTTATGTATGTTTTATTCCAGAGTTTGCAAGGTATTTCATATATGACTCCACACCTTTGTTCTGATGATATCTTGTCTGCGCTTCAAATAGATCAAAATAAAACAAGTGAAAAAGTCATAATGATCTTAAAACAGACACAAATTAAATAAGAAAACCAAAGTCATAAAATTATAAAACTAATGAAATAGTACGACAAATTCAAGTTAAAAATAAGAAAATAAAATATTTATATGAAAGCAGCTTTAAATAAAAGGGTATTCAGCTGAATGTGTCCAGACTGTCAATGCTACGTAAGGATAAAGGAAGATCATTCCAAAGTCGGGGTGCAAATAGTCTGAAAGGAGCGATCACCTCGACTTTTATATCTGGTCTTTGGAACTTCTAGGAGGTTCTGGTGTGTGGACCTGAGGGCTCGGGTTGGAGCATAAACTCTAAAGTTAATGGGTAACCTGTGCAGAGACATTAGAATAGGAGTGATGTGTGCTCTTCTGTTTGCTCCAGTTAGGAGATTTGCTGCAGAGTTCTGAACCAACTGAAGGTGATTAAGTGCTTTTTTGTTAAAACATGTGAAGAGTGTGTTACAGTACTCTAGGCGAGAGGAGATAAAGGCATTGATAACCATTTCAAGTTCATGTTTTGTCACCAACCTTCGCAGTTTGGAGATGTTTCTGTAGCATTTGGATTGTGGCTACATATTTTTTAAATGATCATTAAGATGTGACATTCCATATAAATATGAATAATCAATCAGATTGGTCTTTGAATATTTTATTTAATATCACCTTAGGTTATTTGACTATTCAGGGAACACACATTTCATATTAATTCAGACAGAGTCAAGTATATCGTTTATACAAATGATTTTATTTCTATATTTCTAAACTAATGATTATACATGACAAAGTATGAATGAAAAGATGGTTGTATAAGATAACAGACAATTAATGAAATGATGCTAGATGTTTGTAGCAAAACCTTATTAAGTATAAGAAATATTGTGATGTCTGAGTTGTAAAATCAGTTTGACTTTATGGTTTAATAAGCTATAGATTATTTGTAAAACTATCCAACGCCAGTGTGAAAATCTACAAACCCTTTGTGTTGATAGCGCTTGTGCATTAGCGTGCCTAGGCTGGCCACTAGCTGACTTGTGACTCTCCGAGACGTGCTAATGGCTAGCCTCTCCGATGCTAATGCCAGCCTATCCATGCCTAAAGTCTGTCAAGGGGGTAGGAAATCCAGCTAGTGGCCAGCCTAGGCACACTAATGGCTAGCCTCTCCAATGCTAACACCAACCCATCCAAGCTAATGCTAGCCTATCCATGCTAATAGACAGCAGAGGGAGTGTTTGAACCAGTCAATGACCAGCCGATGGCTGCTAGTCCCTAGCGTATCTAGTAATAACACCGGTAAAGGTGCTATTCCTCAGTAAGCAGCGCTAGCCTCTCAGTTACCGGTGCCAGCTTATCATTAATCAGATCAGTAGTTTGCTTCGGAACTTATACAGCATCCTGCCGCTGGGTAGTAGTCTTAATTTTGGCCCCCATACTGCGCCATAGTACTTTGTGATATCTTCACTTTAATGGAGGAGCCCCTCTCCAGACCATCTGAAGAACTCAGGAACCACATAAGTCTTCCATCACAAAACATACATCTACTAGTGGTGTGGAGTGATACTGCCACTTCAGCACTATAACATTACTGAATCAATAGAAGAAAAAGAAGAAGTTTATACACAGATGCGATTAACAAAGGGCTTCACAGACACACATCCCACATCACATCCCTTCTCCTTTATCTATGGTGGTCAAATTTAACATCCTTGAATGGAAACATCATCTGTTAATTCTTTACTAATAATTAGAAGGCTACAGTAAATACTTCCAAAATAAAATAAGTGCATTTAGCTCAACATTTTTCATCAAATGTCCAGCTAACAACACAAATTTATAATGATCATGGAAGGTGGGATGACTATCAGCCTTCCATTGAGTCCCAGAGAGACTTCTTACTATAGCTCACTATTTACTTACAAAGGCTCTGAGATAGTCTTTTTTTGCGTTAAAAGTAGCGCAGCACAGGTGGTGGATCAGATCTCCGTCTGATTCCATGTCTGGTGTATCCTCTTCTGGGGAATCAACCTAAGCTGCCTGTGCTGCATCCATTTCCCTTCCCACCAAGGATGCAGCATCAGTCTAAAGATTGCAGGGCTCCTCATTGATGCCCATGCGAACATTCCTCCATTTTCAATGTCATTACTGGATGTAATCCATATGTTGTCTTATGACACGTCCATCTCCAGTTTGTACATTATGAGACCCGCTTGTATGGGACTTTAGTTCTAGATGTACATGCAATAGAATAGAACAGAACCGAATAGAATAGACTTTATTGATCCCGCAGTGGGGAAATTCACTCGTTAAGACAGCACATACTGTACACTTAGAGACTAGGGAAAATGGCTAATACAAGTAAATACACAACAGCTGTA